TGTGCAAAATTGAAGCAATTTCCTGCATCAACCCAGGAAGCCTCGTACATCTTTCTCGGCCTTGTTGTACATATTTACAAACCAGTTTTGTAGAACATGGTAGCATAAAAAGATGATTGGCTTGATGTGAATCCTTTTAATTTATTATTAAAGATTGAGATACCTTGAGGCCAAATTGAAAATTTGTTTCTTTTTTATTGCACACTTGTAGCCGGAGAATTGACTGGGTGGTTGCTGCCATTTTTATTTTGAGTCTTGCCTTGAACTCCCTAATCTTGCTGCTAGAGAAGCTTTTTAGGAGATGCATGTCTGTTTAAGCTATCCATTTCTTCCTCTTTACTGCAGGTGCGTCTTTTTGCAGCTTTGAAACTTAAAAGTCAGCCATGAGTTTGAGCTGGGCTAGGAAGGCTCGGTTCAAAATCGTTTCCAGTAGACTCGCATGTAGGATTTTATTTTTGGCTCGAATGAAATTCCATGGTTTTGATGGTCCCTGTGGGGTTTGGAATGCAACACATACATCCATCAGCAGCTTGTTGCTGTCAGCAACTACACGGCACATAGATCTGGGTCATGCCCTTTCTGCCAATTATTAAACGAATCAATTTCCTATCAGTTTTGGGATCGATGGTACTTTATGGTGTATGCTCATGTGGTAGATGATGCTTCAGAGCTCGATGTTGGTCTTGATTGACGCTGTATAGGACAATCCTCATGTAGTAGTGTTTTAATATCGAACATCAGTTTATAAGATGATTATTTTTTCTATTTGGAGCAGCAGTGCCCTCCACCTCCATGGATGACATCGACGAGGTGGACATGCGCCCAAGCTGAGGAGGACATCGTCTAGTCCTACCTCAACCTGTACTATGAGGTCGTCCACCAGAACTCCCCACAGAAGGTCTATCCCTCTTGATGGTGAATTTTTTTCAAGTTATCACTCCTCTGCTGTAGCCTAGCTTTTAAACGGAACTTGATGCAGAAAGTGTTCTTCAGACTAAAGTAGATGCAGAAAATTATCACCTTTGGCAAAACAAGTGTCGGTACACAGCGCCGCTTTTTGCTGCTCGACATACTTGTTTTGAAATTGGGAAACTCAACGGTGAAAACATTTGTAGCGCCTAAGAGCTTTTGCCCTGCCAGACTTGAGAATTCTCCTGGATGTCTGAGCCATGTTGACTTCCCCATGTTAATCTTCTTTTTTTACCTTGGAAAAATATTACAATGTGCTAGGCCATGTTTTCCAGAAAGAGGCCTCTATTTATGTTAGTTGATAGTTCACTCAGTGCATGCGGAAGGAAGCTGCTTATGTTATTTTGATATATGGAGGCATTCTGAATCTTGTTTTTTTGCATCATCCAGGAATGCATCATCCATGGAAGCTGAGAATGCTAGGAAGGAGATGGTCATGCCGAGTGAGGAGCAACCATCTATGAGGCCTCATGTGCGACGTGAATCATTGGTCGCGACTTTCACAAAGCATCTACCAAGATATATACACCCTTGTCTTTTGGTAGTTTTGCAGAGCTCTCCTTTTTGTACAGATGAGAAAATGAGACCCTAGAATGTATTGGAACTAGGGTAGTGCAATCCTCAGGGGTTGTGGGGTGCATGCATGTATGTTTTCGTTGTGTTGCATGAGGATATGTTTGGTGATGATCAACCAATTGTATATAAAGCCAATCAGTTTGTTTGCCATCCCGTGTTGGTGTTGATGTGTCTAGTTGTGAAACATATGATTAATCAAAGTGTTCAAGTAAACTTTTTCTCTTGTGGGTCTGTGGATGCATTGCCAGTGCATCATTGCTCCTCGCTGGGGTGTTTTCTGCTTCGTTGCTGTTATTATTGCTGGTGAAATGGGAGGCACATAGGTAGACAGAGATCATGGAGGCATAGAGGAGGGGGCTTGGAGTGGTTCTGGCTTTGTTAAGAGTGAAATTCTTCTTTGTGGCCATTTTCTGGTGCAGATGGAAGTAATAAAGCTTTTTAGATTTTGTTTGTTTTGCAGAAGTTGATAAGTTTTTTTAATTTGTTCATCATTTTTCTGATTCTGGTCAATATAGTTTTTGAGAATCATGACCATCATGTTATTCAACGCCTAGGGATGCTCACTGGTCGGCAAGGGTCTGGATTGTGCCATCTCATTGATCCATGGCACCACAGCCTCCTTGATCCGTGGCACCACGGCCTCCTCGTCCTCTACATCATGCCTTCTTTCTTGACCAAGCCATCGGTATATATACCAGAGGTAGTGATTCATCCGCGTGCGACTTATAACTTGAGACTTGAACGACGACGACGCAGGAGGTGTGACACCACGCTAGGCAAGCCCAGACGTCAAGCATCTCAGGACAGGGCTTTCCCATGCGTCCGCCCGCCCGCCTCCTCCTCCTCCTTACTACCATGATGCTCCATACCCTCCATACTACCATGATGCGATGGCAACACCTGTCTCCTCTGGGAGGACCACTGGATCGACGGAGTCTCCATCGCCGAGCTGGCCCCGTTGGTTCACGCTCTCGTTCCCCGTTGGCATCACATGGTGCGCACTGTGGCCGTGGGCTTGGCCTCCCGCGCCTGAATCCAAGATGTGCAGGGCCATCTGGTCCCCGCGACGCTGGTGCAGTACGTCCTACTATGGGCACGTCTCCACTAGGTCACGCTTTCTGATGCACCAACCGCTCTCACCTGGCGCTGGACACCGAACGACATGTACTCCGCCAAATCGTGCTACAAAGCCCTATTTGTTGGCTCCACGATCGAGCCCTCCTGGCGGCTCACATGGAAATCTTGGGCACCCCTCCGCATCAAAATCTTCCTCTGGCTTGCCTTCCAAGGACGATGCTGGACCGCCGACCTGCTCGCTTGCCGTGGCCTTGCGCATGCTCCGCTGTGCCTCCTTTGCGATCAGGAACCCGAGACTATGGCGCACTTTCTCGCTGGCTGCGTCTTCTCCAGGCAAACATGGCACGAGGTCCTTTCTTGGTCCCGAATCACCGACATGCCACTCCCAAGCCCCAGCATGAGCTTTCGCGACTGGTTCTCCCAGTCTGTTCGGGACGCTCCTACTGCTTTGCGCCGTGGTTTAGCCTCGCTTATCATTCTTACCGCCTGGCGCATCTGGAAGGCGCAGAGCGCATGCGTCTTCAATGGAGCAACCCCCTTTAATCCCACTTATCGTCAATGACATCAAGGAAGATGCCCGTAACTGGGCCGCCGCTAGAGCCAAGGGGCTCAGCAACCTGCTCCCGCCCACATAGTGTCTGTATAAGGGGCTTGCGCATCCCCCCTCTCTGTGTATGCGCCCTTGTAGCTCTCGCTCACGCCTAATGTGCACGTGCATTCGAGGCTACCCCTGTAACTGCTATTGCTCTTTTCCTCTATTAGTGGTATTCGCGAAAAAAAAGACTTAACAAGTCTCAGTCAAGAGACACAACATATAAACGAGAAGAAAGTTTTTTTACACGCATCTCCATATAAGATCTCACGAATATAGCATCGACTGAGAACTTTGTTAAAAGTCAGTCGACTGAGATTTAGCACCGAGCGTGAGCTCCCGTTGTTTGGGGAGATATCTTGCTTGGGACACCACTGACCATAATATTCTGTTTCTGGTACTGGAACACACAATTTTTTATCTTTGAGAAAGCTGGAACACAACTAGCGTATCAGAGAGAGGGCTGGCGCCAAGAGCGCATCAGAGATGCCATGCGTGTGCATGCCCTAAACAATAGGATTACGATTCCGTAATATGTCTTGATAGAGTACTAAAACACAATAATGTGATATCACAAACAGCAAGCATCTGGGGATATGCATGTGTAAGGAGATCGTGACGAACTGACGATCACTGTCTAGGTGGCGACACGAGCACGCGCGAGAGCCGAGAGGCACAGAGGCTGCCAGCAGTGGCCTCCTCCAGTCCTTCACGTGGCAGGTGCCGAATGAACCAAACGACGTCTCCGTTCCAACCCAATCCCCGGCGCTCGACGACGCCGGAGCTAGCGAAACCGGCCAAGCCACCTCGTGTCGTGTCCGACAGCCACGGCGCAGCACCGCCCGTCTCGAGTCGACGCGACAATTATCAAGTCGACGGACGCAAAATCCCGTGGAAGCCAGAACGCTGCCGGGTCTGGACTTTGGGCCGCGGCGATAGCAACAAGGCGAGCGCGGGTGGCGGGTGGTGGGGCACGTGATGAGAGCGAGGGCGCTGCTTGCGCGTAATGGCGCGGCATGTCGCTGTGTCCCGCCGCTGCCGCCCGGAAGCTTCCCGGAAAGTGGCCTCGTCCTTCTCGTTAGGCTCGACTCGACAGGGGTGGAGGAGCTTGGCGCCGACGCATTCACTCCTGGATCATCGCTTGCATGGGAAGGAAAGCTCCATGATTGTACCACCCATAGCCCGGCCGAGCCACTGTTGCTCCGATCTCAGCACTGTGCTCCCAATCGATCAACCGGGCCGATTTTCCATGTGACTGAACCGCGCATGCCAGCGACAGTTTTGGCACCTCCAGGGTAGACGGATGGTTCAGTGCGGATCGGAATTGACCGGGCGGCGTGCGATCCGACATGACCCCCACAATAATTCGCCTCGCCGGTGGATTTCCCTCCCGTCCCCGGCCCCGCCCGGATCCCATAATGCGATCCCGGCCACCCCCGTCACCATCCATCCATCACTAATTAAGCTGGCTGTGGACTGTGGTGCGCGCCGCGCGGACACGACGGTTATAAAGGCGTGTGCGAGGAGGAGCCTTGCAAATAAAGCCACCCCCCACCACACACACGCCACCACCGCTCTGTCCCCCGCGCCGATCGATCACCATACGAGGAGAGGAGAGGCCCATGGAGGCGCACCCACCCGCCCCGCTTCCTCAAATGGCCGGCGCCGCCGCGGCTAGATCCTGCGCCCATATGAGCAGTGCTCGCGGTTAGGTGTGCGCGCGCGTGCTCGGAGCAGGCTCACTTACGTGCACAGTCGTTGGCGTCTTTACGAACGTTCGGTCATCATGGCCGGCATGCTCCCTGGAGTGGAGTGCGCGCGGCGGCGGCGGATGTGGCAGGGCGGGGGCGCGGGGGCCGACCAGGCGGCCGCGGGCACGAGGCGGCTCTCGTTCTGCCTCTACGCTGCCGGGCACGGCGCCGCGCACGCCGTCGGCACCGGCAATTCCGGCAACAAGGTATGCATGCGGCGAGCTTGATCGATCGATCGTCTCGTAGATTGTTTTCTGTGTAATTCGGAGTTTAAGATGGCGTGAACATTCGCAGCAGAGGAGCGGCGCCATGGACGGGTGGGCGCTGGACAGCAATGCCCGGGAGGCAAAGGAGAGGCTGGACCAGAAGCTCAAGAGCAAGGGCAGCGGCCCCGACACCGTCATCAAGAGGTAGTTAATCAAGTTGATCGATGTCGATGCTAGATTCGTTTTCTTTTGTTCTGCTTCACTCGTCACTCAGTGTGATCGGTCGAACACTTCCGCAGGCATCACAGTACGGGGAGCATAAAGCTGAGCAGAGCAAACGGAAGCGGCGGTGGTGGCGGAGGGGGCTCGTCGGCGACGGTGGCGACGGGCGTGCAGCGGGAGGTGTACTCGAAGAAGGGCGTGATGAGGCGGCTGATGAGGTGGAGCCGGCTGCGGTGGGAGGCCGCGGAGCAGGCGGAGTGCGCCGTGTGCCTGGACGAGTTCGCCGCGGGCGACGTCCTGGCGCACCTGCCGTGCGGCCACCGCTTCCACTGGGGCTGCGCGCTGCCCTGGCTCGAGGGCGCCGCCTCGCACTCCTGCCCGTTCTGCCGCGCCGCGGTCGACGCCGGCGCCGGCGCGCACGCCGCCTCCTAGCGACGCCCCGCCGGGCCATCAGTTCGATGGCCGCGCGTCGCACGATGCCGTGACCGACCGACCCGCGCGCACGGGATGCATGCGCTGCCACGGCGAAGAACCACTTGTATTGTAGGATGCATCGCCGGATCGATGGCAGACACTTGGGAATGCGTACGGAGAGAAGACGGCCGTGAAAGAAATCCTCTGTCGCCGAGTTGCATGGTTTTGGGCGCATCCACTTACGCCATTCCGGCGAGCGGCGGGGTGATGAGGTTGTGTTTGGCGGCGGGTTGTCGGTTGGCAATGTCCGTTGTGTTACACCATCCGGTCAAGAGGGAAAATTGTAGATTAAGAGCTTAGTTATAGCAAGGGTGGGAGTTCGTGCTATTGTGGGCATCGGTTACTCGTATGCAACGTCGCTAGGAGAAGATGATGCTTTCGCCAGGTGCATCAGCATCAGCTGTTGAAGCCGAAGAAGGCGTGGCTGCCACTGAAGCTGACGAAACTGAAGAAGGCGTGGTTGTTGCTGAACCTGACGAAACTGAAGAACAGAAAGGGTGTTCTACTTCAAACGGCGACAACCATACGTGAACGAGGGCAAGCTGTTGGGCCCCGGAGGTCAGACAGACCCCTTGCGTCGTCGCACAAGTATGCTGGGAAAGATTGGTTCACGTCATAAGGTGGGATTTACGTTCCTAAATATAGGACGTTTTGATAGTTCAAACATGAGAGTATGCAAGCGAGTATAATTAGTCCCTGCTATAGACAGAGCTCCCCGTTGAGTGTTTTTGGGCATTGGGGTGGATCGTGAAACTGTAGAACCCTCGAAACAAATAGGCTCATGTCCCGCTTTATGTATGAAGCAAAAATCGCAGTACAGTACACGGATCGTGTAACTGTAGAGGCCCGAAAGGGCAAACCACTCTCTCCCCTCTCTTTAATTCCTCCTTTCTTGTAATTCTGAATCTGAGATGTTGAGATGAACCGAGCAAGTAGATCCCTATGATTCCCGTGATGGTGTAGCACGTTTGTAACAAGGATCGACTCCGAAATACAGAACTTTGTGGACTTCGTCACTCTTGGGGTCAATTCTTTTTCATAATCTTCCACCATCAGCAAACTTCTCCCCGTAAGCTTAGGGTTTTCGTTCCCCAAAATGACTTCAACTCTTCCGCCCGCACAAACAACAACGTAAAGAGCCACAAGAGCTAAACGACAGAGAAAAAGTTTTAAATGGCATGAGGTATTGAATGTTTTCTTTTGCTTATTCATGTAGTTTCTTCAATCTACATAATCAAGGCATGTAACTGTCTGGCCCACACTTTCCTCAAGTTTTTTAAATGCAAATATATTTTTGAACAGAGGAAGAGTAGCAATTCCTTCAAAATATGGGCATGAGATTTGTCTTATTTTGATGAGGTGGCCATTTAAAACTTTTTAAGATACCTCCTACTCATTTAGTACTCCCTATGTCGAGAGGGCACCTCCTGCACCCATGCATATGCACCCACTTTTTAAAAAATGCACTTCAAGCATATTTTAAAATGTCAAAAAAATTCAAAAGAAAATTTCACGCATACATGTTCGCAAATGTGTGTGCGCGGCACAAAGTTTTGTGAAAAAAAATCTTTTTGTTTTTTCTTTATAAAAAAGAAAAATTTATGTGCTTTTAAATAGCGTTTCACGACATAATTTTTTGTCTTTTTTGCACACGCCACAAAAAAAGTTATTTTTCGTGAAACTTTTTTACACACATAGAACATGAAGACGTATCCGTGCATCCATTTTCAGATTTTTTTTAGCACTTAGAAATATGTTTTCTTAAGTTGGTTCATATGTACCCGGATTCATCCATGCACTTTCCTCCCTATGTCACATAATATAAGGCGCCTTTGCAAGCTAAAACATAGCTTGCAAAAACATCTTATATCGTGGAACAGAGGGACTACCTCCCTATATAAAGTTGTCTTGTCATAACCACCACCATTCACCCATGTGTCAGCTTCCACCTCTTTTGCTTTGTGTCCATCAACTATATTTATGTCATGCATCATTGTTTGTCAAGGAAAAAACTCGAATAACCATCCCTTCCTCACCGCCCACCGATCATCCATATGTCAGCTTTCACCTCTTTTGCTTCATGCTCATCAATTACATTTATGCCATGTGTTATTGTTTCTTAAAGGAAGAAACCTCAAATAAGACAGAGACACTAAGGTGAGCCTCGAGCTATTAAAAAGAGAGCAAGGTAAGCCTAAAAAACCATTGTTTATAAAACTTAGAGCAAAAACTTTCTAGACATATTGTATTGTCTCTTAATAGTTGTTCAATACTTCCTCTGTAACTTAAGATAAGATTTTTTTTGACAATATGATAGTGTCAAAAAATGTCTTATATCATGTTACAGAGGGAGTAATATATGATCATTGCGTTCTTGTCTTGGACCTATTATTTTTCACTAATTGGCCTCGACTATATTTCATAAAACCCCAGTCTTCAATGATTTTTTTCTCACTTGATGTCGACACACTCTTCATCACCTCCGACCTGTGTGAAATCTTCTTTAAAAATAACAAAATACCCTTGCAAATATGCATTGGTGTGACTACACCTAGAAGCGTGACACAACGGGCAATGGTAATTTTTTTGGCTTCACCATGCCTCCCGTCAAACACTAACGATTTGTCGGAGTCAACTCTCCCACCAGGTGAACCAGGAACTGAAAGAGCATGGTGCCCCCATATTTGGTTTTCGTAATTGATGACAATCCTTATGTACTAATAGTTGCCTTGAGTTATATTTGAAGGGTTGGTCCATATGCATGACATGAAAATCATTTGTTGGTTTCGAAGTTAATTATTTGAAGAAGATTATGTGTTGACCAAGGTGCTATTCAAGGAGTTATCCAAAAATTGGTCATATGAGAGTTGAGCCTATTGCAAGCATGTCTTGAAGAAGAAGATTATATGAACATTCATGTTTACCTTCAAGACACCATCTTTATGAAGAGAGAAGATATGTTTTAAGATTGATCAAGACTAAGCACAAAGAGTGATTCAAGTTGACCAACACACAATGCGTAGAAGATGTACCGAGTGGGATCAAGTGATCCCATGATATGGTAAGCATTGTCCATTACGCTTTATGTACTAACCCACTGTCTATGTGAGGAGATTAGGTATGTTTCCATGGGATTGCATCAAAAGAAAGATATCATATAACCCATGGAGGATGACATCAAGTGGTGATCGTCATTAAGATTGCAATGTGCAAGTTCAAGTGGAGCATCATGAAGAGATCACATGCTTGAAGCTTGCCCTTCATTGTGGTGACAATGGACATATGAAGATGTGTCGAAGAGAGGCTCACCCATAGTGAAGCATGAGGGATCAATCTACTAGTCTTCATCGAGCCAACACAATCTAGAAAGGTGGTCCAACTTGAGGAGGTCAAGATCGTCATCATCTAGCTCAAGTAGATTATGCGTAAGGCAAATGTTTGTCCTTGATAGGTTTTATATTTTACCAATCTCATGGTGTTAGTTGGGATGCCGGGCAATAGGATTTATTACCATACTATCAAGGGGGGCTCTCGAGTGAGTACCTTGATCATATCGTTCGTAGAGAGCTCAAACATTGCATTCTTGGCATTATCTTTCCTGGTTCTTATTTGGCTTTTCTCTATGTGAGGCTTTAGTCTTTGTGTTATTCTTCTTGTCAAACTCAAGTTCACCAAAAACGGAGTTCATATGCATCATCTTTGCGTTTTCGGTGTTGGAGATTTTGCCGGTTAAATATGGGGAAAGTTATCTTCCTTATCCTATTGGCATTTATTCCACATTTCTAGTTCTTAATATATCCTATTGTCATTGTTGGATAGTACTTGTGATCATCTATACATCAAGCTTGAGTTTGCTGATTTCGAAGTCCATTTGCACAAGTTATGACAGTTTTAGTACTGGAGCATCCTTTTGTTTTGCTTGGGCACTTTTACAGCACCCAAGCAGTTCTGGTCGGTACCACGGTAGTACCGCATATGCGGTACTTCCATTGTGGACTACCATAGCTACTACCGCCTGGGAAATCCCTTCTGTGCAACTTTCTGTTGCCTAATTCTATTAAGCGATAGTGGCGCGGTAGTAGCTCGGTAGCACTGCTTGTGAGGTACTTCCGCGTACTAGTACCGCTACGAGTACCGCTTGTAGTTTGAAGGGTGTGCAAGTTTCTTTTGCCCAAATTTCTTTAGCGATAGTTGGATGGTACTTATATGGTAGTACCTCTCCCAACGGTACTTCTACTCTGGTGCCGTGATACGTCTCCAACATATCTATAATTTTTGATTGTTCCATGCTATTATATTATCTATTTTGGATGTTTAATGGGCTTTATTATATACTTTATACTATTTTTGGGACTAACCTATTAACCGGAGGCCCAGTCCAAATTGTTTTTTTTTGCCTATTTTAGTGTTTCGCAGAAAAGGAATATCAAACGGAGTCCAAACGGAATAAAACCTTCGGAAGAGTCGTTTTTGAAACAAACGCAATCCAGGAGACTTGGAGTGGACGTCAAGGAAGCAACGAGGCGGCCAGGAGGCAGGGAGGCGCGCCCAGGGGAGTAGGCGTGCCCCCACCCTCATGGGCCCCTCGTGGCTCCCCTGACCGACTTCTTTCGCCTATATATACTCATACACCCTAAAAACATCCGAGAGCACCACGAAACCCTATTTCCACTGCCGCAACCTTCTATACCCATGAGATTCCATCTTGGGGCCTTTTCCGGTGCTCAGCCGGAGGGGAATCGATCACGGAGGGCTTCTACATCAGCACCATAGCCTCTCCGATGAAGTGTGAGTAGTTTACCTCAGACCTTTGGGTCCATAGTTATTAGCTGGATGGTGGCTTCTCTCTCTTTGGATCTTAATACAAAGTTCTCCTCAATCTTCTTGGAGATCTATTCGATGTAATTCTTTTTGCAGTGTGTTTGTCGAGATGCGATGAATTGTGGGTTTATGATTAA